ATCAACCAACGATTGTTTAAAAATAAAAAATAATATGTTCGATCGCCAGACAGGTGTATCCCTGTCAATCTTTCAGCCCAGATAGCCCAGATAGCTTGTGCCACCAGTTACATGTACAAAAAAAAATAAATCACCATGGAACAGTTCAGATTCAGTTTAGTAATGTCTGTATAAACGAAAAAAGAGGGGAAAAAAATAGATATATATACATAAACCACTACATTTTTCAGTCAAAGTTTCTGTCCAATAATCCACAGATTCAACAGTTCGTTCATCCAAAAAGAAATATCAAAACATGTCAATTTGGTTTTCATTAAGGGGGAAAAAAAAATCAAAACAAAACCAAACCCAAAATAAATAAATAATATATTACTCACAACCTGAGTTTGTGGGGGAACCGGAATGACCCGGATGTGGAAAAAGCAGAGATAAATTGATGTGAGTGTTTGGGGAAAAAACAGCCGCGAATCCAGCCACGCCGTAGCCCTTAGCAATAATGATGCTCTGATGGATGGTAAATGGATATAGCCCAGGATCCAGACGGTCACCGGTCACTTGGGGTTCTTGTCCACGCACCGCGCTGAAGACTTTGTTATGGAGAGCGTTATTTTCTCTCCAGCGTCCGCTCCAGCAGAGAAGGGGAAAAGTTCAACCCACCAGGAATAGTAATCCACGAACACTAGTAGATATTCATGTTGGTGGGAACTGCGAGGCAGTGGACCCATGATGTCTACTCCCAACATCTCGTTTGGACGACTGGTGGTGGTCTGTTGAATTTTCCCAGCAGGTTTGCGGTTGTCATTTTTCAAGGTCTGGCATTTCATGCACCTTTTTACATATGTTTTACAGATGTCCACATGGAGGGCCAGAAAGCGACCTGATGCACCCGTAAGTTTTGCTAATTCCTAAATGACCACTTAAGGGATGCGCATGGTAATGCTGTAGAATTCTTGGGACAAGGGTGGCCGGAATATAGAGTCTGTAATGAACTTGCCCATTAGTCAGATGAGTTCGATGATATAGCTTGTCTTCAATTACCTCATATTGGTCTTGCATAGTGGAATCATTGTCGGCTAGTGACTGAAATATTGTGGTAATTACTAGATCTTTGTGCTGTTCTTCCCAGATGTCTACTGCAGGAAAGTGGAAATCCAAAGTCCTCCTTTTAATTCGAGTATAAATGGCATCCAGGTGCGGAATACATCCGGAATGCATCTGGGGCTTCATTGAGTTTTCCTTTTCGATACTCAACCACAAAGTAAAATTTTTGCAGATGAAATGCTCAACGGATTAGACATCCCGTGGTTTTTGTGGAATTCATGACCCACTGTAGAGCTGAATGATCCGTGACTACTGTGAAGAGTTTCGGTTCCAAGTAGTATTGTATTCCAGGTAGTATTCGGTTCCATTTTTCTAGCGCCCATACTACTGCAAGACACTCTTTCTCTGTAGCTGAATAATTCATCTCAGCTTTGGTCAACGTTCGGATGCCATAGGCTATGACTTCTTCCAAGCCCTGTGTTTTTCTTTGTGTCAACACTGCACCGAGTCCTGAATCACTGGTATCAGTGTAGATGACAAAAGGAAGTTGAAGGTCTGGATGACCCAGAATGGGGGGTGAGGTGAGACATGTCTTCAATTTCTCAAAGGATTCTTGACACTGTGGTGACCACTGGAATTTTCGTCCCTTCTTCTTCAGAGCATTTATAGGTTCAGCTATCTGTGAGAAATTGGGCACAAACCTGTGGTACCTTCTGGCCAACCCGAGAAATCGTTGAACTTCTTTAAGATTCCTGGGAACAGGGTAAGAGCGAATGGCCTCTACTTTGCTGGGGTCAGCCGAGATGCCTTTTGTGTTTACCACATGTCCCAGAAATGTCAATTCACTAATTTTACTGGTACTTGTGACTATGTGACAATAAAGGCTACTACTACTACTAATTCGGTATGTGTCCATCCTATAGGCACAGCTGTCTCACCATTTGCCAAGTAGAGTGGACCAAGAGCCCATGTCCGAAGTGGATCAGAGGATGCAAGCTCTGTCCATAAGCTCTCATGTAACAGAGTATAGCTTGCTCCGGTATCAACTATAGCCTTTCCTGTCCATCTGCCAATAGTAATCGGGACGACCAACTGCTCATTATACAACTGCTCATTATATTGCCATAGCTCATTATACAGTCATAATTAATTACATAATTAGTTAATCCAAAGTAAATAAATACTCTTTTGGGAAAAACTAACATTGTGACTCTGAGACCAAAAATAATGGGAGCGATTTCCATGCCACCATTGCTCTGTCTATAACACGATGCTCTTTGAAGCTGATGTGTTCGACAGGCAGGCAGGTAACAAGAAAGGCCCTTCTTGTTAAATGAATGAACCTGAAAATGTGGTGCAATGTGTGAATACTACACACATTGCACCCTTTAGCGTCAATATAACACGCACTGTTATGGGTAGGTTTGGTAGGTCTGCATCTCATATTGACGCTAAAAGATGCCACTCACCATGACGCCTTGGGTTCTGCGTGTTAAATTGACGCTAAAGGGTGCCATGTCCGTAGTATTTCGACGAAATGTCATATGGCGGGAATAAAGTATAATGCGTATTTGGCGTGGTGTCCCGGAGAAGGGCTCAAATTCGAGTACTCCCCCCACTATGACAAGTGGAAGAGGTATGAATGTCACTGAAGAAAGTCAATCTTCTATAAATAATTTCAGGTGCTTTTGTAATATTTTTTTAAGAATTTAATAAGAGAATAATTAATTCTGCTTCTTTCATGAAGCCATGCTAACTGATTGTGAATGTCCCTCATACTTGTTCTAAGAACAGTTTTACGAGTTCACACAGAGTTACATACACTTAAAGGGAATAAAGTATAATGCGTATTTGGCGTGGTGTCCAGGAGAAGGGCTCAAATTCGAGTACTCCCCCCTCTATGTAAAGTGGTTTAGGACTAGAAGAGTGGAGAAGGGGTGGTGGATGGATGCTGCTAAACTGTCAAAGAAATGAGACTGCTGAGTGTATATATTAATCATGATTTTTATGATTTTATCATGTTTGCTGAGTGCTCTCCACCCGTGTTAATTATCTGAATGTGCTTCTCCTGAACTTTGTTAATAAAAAATCATTTAGAACAAGCCAAGATGCTTTATTTTGTACGATCTGTAATCTGTTTAAATTATTCTGTGTAGTTGAAGCCCAAATGATGGAACAATATGCAATATGACGCAAAACTATTCCACCAAAGTTTTTCGTATACGAATTGGTTCATTCATTTTCTGCAATGGGAGAACTGCTATTCAATATTAATTTTATCTGAGTGTTCCAGGTCAACCTGCTGTCCGTCACAATCACGCCAAGCATTTGGCCTTCACCACTTGTTCAATTATCAAACCACCTACTGACAAATTCAAAGCATATAGGACAATAATGGTGGCACACCTCACAATAAAAGACAGATCATTAATAACACAAAACTTTCGTATCGGAGTAATTACCATTAAACAGTACATTAAACTAAATTAATAGTAAGATAGATCCATTGGATTGCATACTTTTCAAATCCATAATAAATTGTTTTGTTTTTTTCAATAATAGATCATAATCAATTAAATCAAATGCTGGACTCAGATCTAACATTTCAGTACCAACTAATTTTCTATCGTCAATTTCATGCAACCATTCATCCGTCATCTGAACCAAGGCTGTCGTTGTAGAGTGCCCTTTCTTATAAGCATGTTGATAAAGTGAATTCAATCAATTTTTTAGAGAAATACAAATTACTTTGATCACAAACTATTTTCTCCGTAAACTCAAAAACACTTAAAGGTCTGCTATTTTTCTCAGAAAATGTTACTTTTTATTTTTTTGGAAAAGGCACAGTTTCAGCTTTTTTCCACTTCACAGGAAAAACACATTTTTATAAACTTAAATTAATAGTATAACATATAGGCTTGGTAATCACATCAGCAACCATCTTTAATAGCTTGACAACCAGTTCATCAACAGCAGGAGGTTTTTATTTCAATAACTTTAATGTTTTACTCTATCAAATTTGAATTATGATTTATTAAGCATGATTGTATCTTTGTAAATTCTTTCTTTGTGAATTAATCTCCTAATAATTAGCTATATCAGCAGGTTTAGTCAAAAAAGTGTCACCTACATCTAAAAATGTTGGTACAGATCAGGATCTACTTCCCCTAATACTTGTGACCAATACGTATTTCTAATTTTTCACAATATTTGAAATATTTAAACATCCGTTTGATTATTATTTTCTGGCCTAGTTTGAGGATTTGGGATTTTCTATTAATTGCGATAAAATTATGATCACTAAAGCCAACACAAATTGAGATTGCTTTTAAACACAAATCTGTTGCATTAGTAAATCTATGCATGTTTCCGTTTTTGTCTCATCAACATTATAAAAAAATTCTTGTTGGGGTAGTGACCACTTGTGCCAGGTATCAGCTGCAACTGAACAATCAGCTTTCAATGAGCAATTATTCAAACTCCAATCAATATTTAGGTCACCTAAAAAATAAATCTGCATATCTAAATCACAGACAATATCCAACATATAACGGATATGATCTAAACAGACTATTGGTTCATTGCCTATAGCAGCAACCAACTATAGGCTTTAAGTGTATAGTTAAATACACTATACACTGTGGCTTTAAGTGTGGTATTGTTAATGAAGTATGAAAATACAATTATTAAAAACTTAAAAAATTATAGATATGCTTATAAATCAAGAATAAAGCATTTATAGCTGCATATATAAACTGCGTATTAATGTCAATTAATGCTTTATAATGAATTAACCATTTACTGATACTTAACCAATGATTCATGGCATCATGCAGTGATAACTGATAACTTATAAAGTGATAACTGTTTGGATGAATCCGAGATTTGATAGATGAATCTCACAATTTACCAACATAATAAACTCAAGAGTAAGACCCAAACAAATTCAAGCCATGTAAACAAGGTTTAATCCATGGTTTGAACTCCACAATACAATGTTATCAGTGTGCAATCAGAAGAGAATCAGAACAGAAACATGCAGCAGAGAACATATTGGATGTGATTAACAGCACATGCTGCTGACACAATGCCAGTCATGCACAAAATGGCATATTAAAATTCACAGTCACAAACCACTCAATCAGGGTCTGTAACTAATTGCTACAATACATAGGAACCAAGCAAATAAGAACACAGATGTTCATTGAGAGGCAACATTAATGCACTGCGGCATCATAAGAGAGTCAGTTACAGGGCAGCGCTGCAGTGTGTTCATTGCTCGACTACAGCCCTGGATGTTGATACATTAATGGCCCTGATGTCTTTTTCCTAAAAGTATCAAGTAAAAATAGCAGAACTTTGTGACATACAATAATATTTTGAGTTGTGATTAGCCATATTGCTTTTGGACTGGAGTGTACATCAGAGAGGGGGTCCCAGGGACGACACAGAACTGTATTTGTAGGTCGAGGGCAGCTTGAACACAGGCGTTTCCCATGAAGACTCTCTGCGGTAGGCCATATTATGGGATGGACTCATTGCAGGCTCCCGTAGACCACTGGAGAATTCCCTACAGCAAGAGATACTTCTCATATTACTCCGGGCGTTTATGCTAAGATAGAATAGTTTTTTTCAAGATACAAGACAGTAGAGTCATTCTTTAGTGGAAGAAATACCTGACAGTGGCACTGAATGGCGCTGAATGGCTTCCCATAGAGCTCTGACTTGATGCCCTGTGATGAACTGAACCTAAAAAGAGAGGAGACCATTTATTACAGAACAAAGTATACAGCTAGATCATATAAATGGATTGTTGATATCATTGTGAAATGAGTGCTGCTTCTGAGAAGTATTTGGTCGAAAATAAAACAAAAAGGTGGCCGATATATTTCCCCCAAAACTGGGAAAACTTAAACCAAAACTTTTTAATGTAATTTTGTTAATCTGTATGATAATTTTATTTAATATACTTATAGCATTTCACAAACTGGATTTAGGTATTAGGGGTGAAAGAAAATAGATTGCATTAGGGGTGTAAGAAAATGGATTGGTGATAGATATGTGAATATCGATACGGAATAATATGTGAATATCGCAATATTATGTTTGCCAATAATGTATTGATTCTTATAAACACTATTGATATTTATTTAGTAGATGGCAGTGTAATTTCAAGTCATGTCAAGTCATCCTCATTTATTTATCGCTTTTAACAATGTAGATTGTTTAAAAGCAGCTTTACAGAGATAAACTTAATATATTTTAAAGTAACACAGATTGGTTTAGATTTCAGAATGTAAACTGTTATGCGGAGAAGCGCAAAGGTGCCGTGGTACAACGAGCAAACTCAGACTAGAAGAAAAAAAAACTAGAGGTATTTCGGGTTTCATGGAAAGAGAGCTCAATTGCTTACAGAAAGGTCTTAAAAGCTGCTAGATCTTGCTAATCTTCAACCCTACTAGAAGAAAATAAACATAATCCTAGGTATTTATTTGCAACGGTGGCTAAACTTACGAAAAAGAAAGCTTCAAGCCCAGAAATGTCCAAGCAACATAGCAGTAAATATGAACCTCTTCAATTATAAGATTGATAATATCAGGGACAAAATTTGAATAGCCGTCTACTACAGTATCGCATCAGGGAATGGATTGTAGGCTCTCTGAGGAAAAAATGTATTCATTTGTTGCTATAGGAGAGGAAGAATTTTGCAAACTCGTTAATTCATCTAAATCGACAACTTGTATGCTAGACCCTTTACTGACTACGCTACTAAAGGAGATGCTTCCAGATGTCATAGATCCTCTTCTTAATATCATTAATTAGTCTTTGTCGCTAGAATACGTACCAAAAACTTTTAAGCTGGCTATGATAAAACCGCCCGTTAAATAAACACAACTTGATCATACAAAATTAATCAACTACAGGCCGATCTCGACACCTTTTCTGTCAAAGATATTTTAAAAAAACAGTATCCTTAAAACTTTGTTCCTTTCTCGCAAATGATGTCTGCGAGGATTTTCAGTGCGGATTTAGACCGGACTAGTCCACCTAGACAGCTCTCATTAGAGTCACTAATGATTTGCTCCTATTATCCGATCGTGGTTTTATCTCCCTATTAGTGTTACTTGATCTTAGTGCTGCACTTGACACAATTGACCACAACATGCTTTTAAATAGAAAACTATGTTGGCATTAGTTGCACTAGCATGGTTTAAATCATACTTATTTGACCGTTATCAGTTTATAACAGTAAATGAAGAGATGTCTTATCGATTACAAGTTCAGTACTCAGTACTCAAGGCTCAGTACTAGGAACACTGCTGTTCACTCTGTACATGCTGCCATTAGGAGATATCATTAGTTTCTCCTATGGAATTAGCTTTCACTGTTAAGCCGATTATACTCAGCTCTATATTTCTTCAAAATCTAACGAAACTTACCAATTCACAAAATTAACAGAATGCATAGCTGATAACAAATTGGACTAGTAATTTCCTACTACTAAATTCTGAAAAAACTACGGAGCCCCCCTCCACTTTGGCAAAAAAAATTAATTGATACTATCTCGTGGCCACAAGATAGTAACTCATGACCTCAAGATACTAACTCGTGGCCTCAAGAAACTAACTCGTGGCCTCAAGATAATGGCCCTCATTGATTAATCTTGCGTAGAAACGGGTGTATATTTTGGCGTAAGATTATGCTTACACTCCTCTCACCGCCTGATTTATGAAGATGTGCATACCTTTGAAATCCAGGTGTACGCAATGCCTGTCCTTGATAAATCCCGCGGCCGAAAATGATCGTCATTAGAATAACACGCCCCTAAATATTCAAGTCTCCGCTCCCCCCACGCCCTCATTTTACGCCATGGACACATGAAAGACGGCAAAGAAGAGTAACTTCTCCGACGTGGAGCCAAAATGACCTATCACAATGCATTATTTTACAACACGTCTTTTGAAATGAGCATTCAATTTCGAATCACGTCACATGTATAATAGTGATGACGATGATGATGATGTGAAGTACCATTCATTCACACTAATAATTGCATGACAATTTGTAATATTCTTATTATTATTAGGCCTATATGATTTGTATTAACATTGTATTAATTTTAGAAGAAGGATGTCGTTATTATTATTTGTATTATTATTATTATTATTATTTAAAAGAAGAAGAATGTTGCTATTTTTTATTATTTTGTCAGTCTGAATTATTTTTTTGGTCAATGAAAGCCTTACCGAACCGTGTCCGTGCGCACCTGCCGGGATAATCCTGAAACGGCAGGGCCACAGGCTCGCAACTGAAGGAATACATATGCTTACAAATCAAATGCTTTGGTAAAGTCACACAAATTAAACATTGAAGTCCACGTTGCACAAAAATAAACACAGAAGTTTATAATTACTATGTTTTGTTTTTGTTTTTTTTGTTTTTTTTACAGTGGGTCATAATCATATCTTTTCAGTGCATTAAGTGGTGTTAGGAATTTTTCTCCGCATTTCCTCACTAACTCAAAACGTGCATACACCACCTCCTGAGCTGGTGTAGGATTTGAGCGTGCCGTACGCCAACGTCCATATTGATAAATCTCAAAGTCACCGTGGTTTTGGGTGTACGCAAGGTGCAGGCTGGAAATTTGGTGTACGCACTTTTGATAAATGAGGGCCACTAACTCGTGGCCTCAGGATAGTAACTCGTGGCCTCAAGATACTAACTCGTGGCCTCAAGATAGTAAAGTGTGTGACTCATGGACCCTTTGTTATTAAACTGGACGCTGTAGTGCAATAATTCACTTTCTGTGCAATATTGTCTGTTTTAATATTCAGTGTGCAATATAGTTTGCTGCTGTTCTGGTTCTATTTATTTACTAGTACTATAAATCTAGTAGGCTGTATATCCATAGTCCTTTATAATTCTTCTTCATATTTTATAGCCCATGTTTTATAGCCCACAGACAGACAGGCATACGATTCAGACAGACAGGCATACTGATACACATACACAGTGATAAACAGCCATACATACTAGCCAGACAAACTAATATACATACACAGACATACTGATAGACAGACAGACATACTGATACAGACAGGCATACTGATATACATACACAGACACACTGATACAGACAGACATATTGAGAGACAGAGATACTGATACAGACAGAGAGACAGACAAACTAATATACATACGCAGACATACTGATACATACAAGCTGCTCCCCATTGTGCATTCTCGAGTTATTATCATGAGGCCACAAGTTACTATCTTGAGGCCATGAGTTACTATCTAGAGGCCACGAGTTACTATCTTGAAGTCACGAGTTACTATCGTAGTAGTAAGTTGTGTATGCTTCTGCTGATACCTGTACTTCTGTGGCTGACAAACTTAATGCTAACTTGGAAAGAATATTGTCTTGGCTGGCCTCATCTCATTTAACTTTAAATATTAAAAAACAAACTCTATCTGTTTTATTTTTTATTCAAAAACTACCCCCAGCACAACTTTTGAACATAAAAATGAATGGTGAACTTATCGAACAAGTACCTGAAGTAAAGTATCTTCGAATAAATATAGATTATAAGCTGAATTTCAAAAGTCACATCAAGAAAATCTATAAAATCATTGGGGGCCAATTTGAGCTGCTTTATGCTGATTAGAAATTTTCTTACTCTAGATTGCGCTTTTACTTTTTTTAATTCTATGATTCTTTCACATACACTCACCGGCCACTTTATTAGGTACACCTGTCCAACTGCTCGTTAACACTTAATTTCTAAGCAGCCAATCACATGGCGGCAACTCAGTGCATTTAGGCATACATGGTCAAGACAATCTCCTGCAGTTCAAACCGAGCATCAGTATGGGGAAGAAAGGTGATTTGAGTGACTTTGAATGTGGCATGATTGTTGGTGCCAGAAGGGCTGGTCTGAGTATTTCAGAAACTGCTAATCTACTTGGATTTTCACGCACAACCATCTCTAGGGTTTACAGAGAATGGTCCGAAAAAGAAAAAACATCCAGTGAGAGGCAGTTCTGTGGGCGGAAATGCCTTGTTGATGCCAGAGGTCAGAGGAGAATGGCCAGACTGGTTCGAGCTGATAGAAGGGCAACAGTGACTCAAATAACCACCCGTTACAACCAAGGTGGGCAGAAGAGCATCTCTGAACGCACAGTACGTCGAACTTTGAGGCAGATGGGCTACAGCAGCAGAAGACCACACCGGGTGCCACTCCTTTCAGCTAAGAACAGGAAACTGAGGCTACAATTTGCACAAGCTCATCGAAATTGGACAATAGAAGATTGGAAAAACGTTGCCTGGTCTGATGAGTCTCGATTTCTGCTGCGACATTCGGATGGTTTCAGATTCAGAATTTGGCGTCTACAACATGAAAGCATGGATCCATCCTGCCTTGTATCAACGGTTCAGGCTGGTGGTGATGGTGTCATGGTGTGGGGAATATTTTCTTGGCACTCTTTGGGCCCCTTGGTACCAATTGAGCATCGTTGCAACGCCACAGCCTACCTGAGTATTGTTGCTGACCATGTCCATCCCTTTATGACCACAATGTACCCAACTTCTGATGGCTACTTTCAGCAGGATAATGCGCCATGTCATAAAGCTGGAATCATCTCAGACTGGTTTCTTGAACATGACAATGAGTTCGCTGTACTCAAATGGCCTCCACAGTCACCAGATCTCAATCCAATAGAGCATCTTTGGGATGTGGTGGAACGGG